AACTCACAGCAATGGCTTAGGCGATTCTCTTGCCTCAGCCTCTGAGGTAGCTGGGACTACAGGCGCCTGCCACAACGCCTGGCTATTTTTTGTTGCAGTTTGGCCAGGGCTGGGTTTGAACCCACCACCCTCAGTATACGGGGCCAGCGCCCTTCTCACTGAGCCACAGGTGCCGCCCCATACACAATCCATTCTTGGACGGTATAATGGAGAGAAGACACAGTCTTCCCCACCCTATCTTTAGAGCCTGGATCTTCACTGTAACCCCACCAGCCACTTATGTTCTCAGTACAGTCCTTTCTTAGAGAAATCCCGGCACACAGTTTACATTCATCTACCTTTCTATTCAAGGCATCTGTAGATAGTAACAATATTTCTTGTCTTCCTCTAGGGTGGACATTGAGTTTCCCAACCAAAAATTCCTGCTTATATCCATGCAAAGTTACTAGTCAAAGCTCAATGGGACTGTCTCGTGAGGTGAACGGTTACTGTCAGCACTCAAGCAGGGGGCGGGATGACGACCTCTCATGGTATTATAAAGGGATTCCAAATGGAATCATTTTAGGTCACTTCCACGCTATAGTTAGGAGGTAACTATAAGGAGTAAGGAGATTATTTTTTGCAAAAGGGGTAAGGAGACTATGCAAAAAGGGTAAGGAGACTATTGATTTTTGTGGGTATTAAAAATACTATGCTCTGCTCTCTTGTGCATGCCAATCACTGCAGGCTGGCTCAGTCCCTCGTCCCCTCCCACTGGTAAAAACCACATAGCTGGCCTCCTCACCCATTTCTTTGTTCTCTCCCCACCTCACTGTCATTGGAACAAGCCATCCACAAGCACATGTGATGATCCCATCTCCCAATGGGGACCTATCAAAGATCCTGTCTCCAACAGGCCAATTCTCAGCCTTTCTTTAGGAACTGTTTCCCACCATGGCCTATGTCTTGGGTGGCTCACAAATGATACAATTTCATACAAATCTGCCTTTGCCCAGAAAGCCTTCTGCCCTCTCTCTTTCACTCTTTCTCACATAGCTATTTCCTGTGGCTCTTCTTTCACACTCACCTCCCCGCCCCAAGTCTTTGACAAAAAATAACCCTTTCTCCTTCATGCTCTCATGCACCTTACCCATAGGACAAGAAATTCCTGCAGGAATTCCTGTTCAGCCCCCAGAACGCATCTGACACATAACAGTCACCAAACAGCTGCTCAACTGAACAGAAACGCGAGGAGCCCTTAGTGACTCAGAGCATCCATGCATTTGGGGGGGATCATTTTAAATACCTCTCTGAGCTTGCCTAGATTTCAGTCTTCAATTAAATGCAAGTCACTCAAAATTAGAAAAGTATCCTAGAACTCAAGAATCTATTCCACCCCCCAAGAAACTTGCCCAAAGTCCACACAGCTGAGAGAAAGATCTAGAAATCAAATGCAGGTCAGCGAATTCCAAAGCCTGTGTCACTAACCAAACCATTAAGAATTACTGCCTTTGATTTCAGGGTGTAAACTTAAAGAAGCAGTAGTCTGTATAGTAAACTCTTTTCCACTAATTTTGTCTTTCATGGAAATGTTTAATTTTATAGAATTCCCGGCATCTCGGTCTCTAGGCTTTGACTTTTTAAACAAGACACAGACATACTTTTTCCTCCTCTAAGAGGCTTTCTTTCCTTGACTCTTGGCTCTGCTATAAAACCCTTCACCTGTCCCGTCATTACTCAGGCTTTTTCTCTCTTGGTTTTCTTGGCCTCTATTGTGAGATGGTGGGCTTTTTATGTAGTAATTTTATGATTCTATAATTTATTTATCATGCATTATTGTGCCTCTAAACAATATGAGTGCCTTCACAAGTGGGGGCACTTTATAAATAAATGATCATATTTATTGTTATTAATAAAAGAAGCAGCCCACACTGCTCCAGAAGCTTCAGCCTGCCTCCGTAAATTTGTGAATTGAATATCAGATCTTACCCGGCTCACAACCGTTGCCAATTCTCGCATCTCACTGTTCATGCCAATAAATGCACTCAGAGGTTTCAGCAATCGTTCCTGATGATAGGAGCAGAAAGGCTCGCGTTATAATATTGCTTCATAATTTAGAAAGAAACACAGGGCCTGCGTCTCAGTGAAACAAACAGTGGCCAGTTGCTATGACCTTTGACTTGATCTTAAGGTTTCATCATACTGAAAATTACATTTCTGAAGTTCATCTGGATGTTGGCAATTTGAAAGATGAATGTCACATCTTAGCCACTTACTGAGGGGTCTGGGTTACAGTCGAAGGTGTTCAGGGAAAGTTCACTGGTTTCTCCTTTGATAGCATCTGTGATCAGCCCTCTGAAATCAATGATTTGGCCCTGAAAGGGAGAAATGGTTGTTTATACCATGAAAACATGAGAAAAGACTCTCCTTAGTAGCTCAACCTCATTCAGTGAAGACACATTTATGTACCCTGGCATACACATACAGGGCAAACTTAAAGTTAAGCTTTAAAAAGAACCTAGTATTGGGTGGCATCTGTGGCTCAAGGAGTAGGGCACCGGCCCCATATACTGGAGGTGGTAGGTTCGAACCCAGCCCCAGCTAAAAAAAAAAAAAAAGAAGAACCTAGTTTTGAACAAGATATTTCCTCAAGGTGGGGCACTCCTTAAAAAATTGTAAATAAATTGTTCATGTAGATGTGAATAAAAATTCCTCAGCCCTTCTCAGTCCGCTTCCTTATATGGCTGCTTCCCGGTATGGTCTCTCATCCTCTTAAAAGTACAGTCACAGAAGAACTCACTGGCACAAGAGTTACAAGAGTTGCTATCTTCTGATTTTAATTCATATTCAACATTCAATAGAGTACCTGGTACGAAACAGGTGTGCAAGGTATTTTGTAAGGATTATTTGTAATTCTTATACTGCTTCTGCTCATTGGGAATGACATTCTAGTTTCATAGATATGAAAGTAAGTTCAGAGATGTTAAGTAATTTGCCCAAGGACACACCGCTAACAAGTAACTTAAGACCAGGATTCAACCTGTCCTTCAAATATCCATCTCACAAGCCCAGACTCCTTCCAGTGCCACCCTGTCTCCCTTAGAAGAAGAGAAAGGGCAAGGATGTATGCAAAAATCAATAACAATAATAGCATATATATATATATATATATATATATATATATATAGTCTGGGACTGGGTTTGAACCCACCACCTCCAGCATATGGGACCGGTGCCCTACCCTTCTGAGCCACAGGTGCCACCCAATAGCCAATATTTATTGTTTATTCTATTCTATGCACCGTATTAAGGCTCTGCTTTAATTATGACATTTAAAGATTTAAGGTGTATACCATGATTATTTCCATCTTACAGATGAGAGAAATAAGACTTGGAGAGATTGTAAGCAGTTTGCCCAGAGTTACACGGGGGGGGGGGTGGCAAATGTGCTGGGGTTTAAACCCACACAGGCCAACTCCAAATCTCATGTCCTTAAGAACAGCACACCTACTAAATTTGCAGGGAGGTTTGGTATCCTGAGACCAGAGTTCCCAACACAGCAATGGTAGATACACTTTGGATACTGGCTCCTGGCCATACGGCCTAAGAACATTTGAAATGGTAGGGAGAGAACCATCCACCTGTACCCTGAGGATGTTTCTGCTAGAAAGATAATTTATAGCCAGACTATTTCAAAGGTTAAGTGCTGGGTTAAATAGTCCCTTCCTGGTGACCCAATCAGAAACAGCCATTCATATCAATATGAGGCATTCACAAGATAAACTAATGCCACAAAATTGCTAACCGCAAAGGTGATGAAAGAAACAGCAAAAGCAGTGAACGTGGACATATTTCTCCTGAGAGGCACCAATTCTAATAGTGTCATCACCAACCATTACCCATCCATCAAGGCTCTTAAGGGGAGCCAGTTCAGGCCAGCAAGGTGGCCCCTCTTGAGTTCCAGGGGCATGCTCCAGCCAACCCCTCTAAACTCACATACAGAGAGTTTACTTTGCCTGAGAAGAGCTGGCCAGAGCTAACTCAGCAGTCCCGTGGGGAGAGCTTGATTAAAAAAAAGAAAGAAGATTCTTAAAGAACTATAACCCCCAGGCGGCGCCCATAGCTCATACACTGCTGCTGGTGGGTTCAAACCAGGTCCGGGCCTGCTAAACAACAATGACAACTGCAACCAAAGGAAAAAAAAGTAGCCAGGCATTGTGGTAGGTGCCTGTAGTCCCAGCTACTTGGGAAGCTGAGGCAAGAGAATCGCTTAAGTCCAAGAGTTTGAGGTTGCTATGAGCTGTAATGCCACAGCACTCTACCCAGGGCAACAGCTTGGAAAATAAAAACAACAACTATAACCCCAGAGGGTACGATCAAGAGAAATATGGTACTTTTCATTTCCAAATGGCATGTTTTGACCTATCTTTTGACTACATCCACTCAATCTAGGTCTTTTCTGTTTGAGAAATTATTATTTTCTTCTTGTTATTTGTTTAGTATTATTTAATCCAGATGTGAGCGTCATTATGAAAAGATCTTAAGTGACTGAACTTTCCTGATTCACAAAAATAATGTTTTTAATTTTTACTTTTAAAAAGAAAAAGAAATTTCCCCTTTTGGCGTTAGATTCATGGGTTCCACTTACTCTTCGTGGGGGGGTATTTTCCTCTCTGCTGTCTTTGTTGATTTTTGATATATTTAAGCCAAAGTCAGCACTCTCCTGGTGGGTGTTATTAACCTCCTGAAGAAAGAGAGACACCTGAGAAGTCAGCTGTGGGAAGCTGCCGAGAGATGCTAGTCGCAACTGCCTGCTCTATCCCGCCATGCAAAATTTGGGGAAGCCCACACGTAATTTAGCCACCTTTGTGCTGACCCAACAAGATGAATGTGGAATGAGCTGTCCCTGGGAGACTGTGAGGACACCGGGCCAAGCGCTCTGAGCAGCTGTAACAATGGAGGAAGCAGTTGTGCTTCAACCCATCCCCACTCAATGGCTTATCTTTTCTCCCTTAATGAATGCTGTTTGGGGCCAAGTGTGACTGAGTTTGGAGATGAAGCAAAGCCAACCAGCCTCCTGTGAGATTACTCCCCGCTCTCCTCCCTTCCCTCACCTGAGTCAGGCCACAGCAGCCAGACCATGGAGCCTCCTTGAGAGGAGGGTAAGAGATGCCTTTTGATCAACTGAGTTGGGTTTTTTGGTTTGTTTGTTTTTTTTTTATTCCTTTCTACTCTGGCAGACATCTGTGATAATGATTTTTTTCTAATGCTTTCTCAGTTTCCAGTGGTCCTCTTTAAAATCTGGGATGTTTTATCCTAAATAGGAAGGTTCTGGACCTGGATCTCTGCTAGGCTCTCTCCTCTTCCTGCCTAGAGAGGAGGACTGGGGTGGGGACCGCCCATGTACCTTTTGCCTAACTCTGAGACCCAGCCATGGCTGGGACTATCCCTGCCTTACACATAGGGACCCAGAGATATGCACTGGGAAAGGAAGACCTGCTGCCTCAGTTACCTCAGGTTTTTTTTTTTCGGTTGGGGAGGGCACAATGTGCTGGTTTTATATACAATTTGAAATACAACAAACTGGTTAACATAGCCTTCACCACACTTTCTTAATTATTATGTTAAGACATTTATACTCTACACTTAATAGATTTGTGAAATGCACATAACAGTCACCTAACGTGGGAGGACGGCCCACTGCTCTGACTGGGCCCCACCCCACGCCTCTGAGCCCAGTCATCCTGAGCTCAGACCAGAGGAAAGTTGGACCAAGAGGGAGTCCTCCCATTCAAATTAAGAAACAGCAGGAAATCTAGGGATTTGTTTGTGGTTTTAACCCCGTACTATAAGAAAATCTTCAATGAACTCACACAGCAATTTTAAGAGCATAAGTCCTCAGAAAACAAATACATGTAACTTTTTTCTTTTGGGTATTCCTCTTCCAGGTGTGACATTACCACAGTCATACCAAGTCATCCTGACCTGTTTAGCATGTTCCTTATTGAGAGATCTGGTGTCCCCTGACTTCCCAGTTGTGGTTTTGGACCGTGGCCTCTGCTGATTGATCTTGGGAAGATTTTGACTACTGTTGCTCATCACCCTAAGAGAGGGAACAAACAAAGGCCTTGGAACAGTAGTTCTCAACCTTCCTAATGCCAAGATGTATTTTCATTGTTACAAAGGGGTTCCGACCCACAGGTTGAGAACTGCTGCCTTGGAAGAAGTTACTGTAACCACTTAATTTAAAATAAATAAGCAACTAGTGTAGCAAACTTAAGAAAGCTCTTTACAGTCTTGGCACCTGTGGCTCAAGTAGCTAAGGCGCCAGCCACATACACACACCTAAGGTGGCAGGTTTGAATCCAGCCTGGGCCCGCCAAACAACAATGATGGCTGCCACCCAAAAATAGCCAGGTGTTGTGGCGGGCGCCTGTAGTCCCAGCTCTTGGGAGGCAGAGGCAGGAGAATCACTTCAGCCCAGGAGTTGGAGGTTACTGTGAGCTATGATGCCGTGGCACTCTACCTAGGGCAACAGCTTGAGGCTCTATCTCAAAAAAAGAGAGAGAGAGATAAAGACTTTTTCTTTTCTTTTCTTTTCTTTTTCTGAGGCA